AAAAGGGCTCAGGAAATGGCACTGGGCAAAGGTGCAAATTGGAGCCTCCTGGAAAGTCTGGTGGAGGAAAAGGGTCTGATGTCTCCTGAGCACATTTGTAATGATAAACTGTGTCTTGTACTTTACTGTTCAGAGAGAGGGGGAGAAAAAAACCCATGTCTGGATTGGAGTTTTTTCAGCATTTGGGATGGCAGGTGAATTTTAAACAGAACCCAGCTGGAATGTGGCCAGTCTGGGAAGCACAGTTTGACAGTTTTCTCTTCCCTTTCCATTATGGTCCAAACAGGAACAGCAGCAGGTGGAGAAAGTACCTTGAGTTGTGTTGGGGTATTTTGTGTGCCAGATTTTGCCTGATTCCTTAAGGCACTAAAGCATCTTTACTTTGCAAAGACAATGGAAATCCTCTTCTTTTTTTTTTTTTTTTTCCCCGAATGTTTTAAAAACGGAATTGTTTTCCTGTGATGCGGGAGAGCAGCAGCTTCCACGGGGATACCACAGGGAATTTCTGTGGAATTTCTGTGGAATTCACAGGGAATTTCTTCCCCCGGGGTGATGGGTCCTGCCCCCCGGGCCAGCTCCAGCGTGATCCCAGTGAGGTGCCCGGGGGGACGGGCAGGGAGCGGGCAGGGCTGGGCAGGATCTGCCCGGTGCGCAGCGCCCGGAGCCGCTCCACGGCGTTTCCAGCCGGGTGTTTTGGGAAGCGGTGGCCGTGGGATGAATCAGTGACCCCGCCAGGCCCGGGGCAGCGCTCAGTCACTGGCAGAAGCGGGTTTTCCGCGGAGGAGGACGCGGCCCGCGGTGCCGAGCCCCAGCTGATGCTCCGATGATGCTCCCGATGATGCTCCCGATGATGCTCCCGATGATGCTCCCCGCGTGGGCGCCCGGAGGAGCCGCAGCCCGGGAGGTGCCGGCTGGCTCTGCCTCGGCTCTGATTCACTTCCCCGACCCCCTGCTGGGAGCCACGGACCAGAGAAATGTCCCTGCTTCCCACGGCAGAGGTGCTCACACCACCGGCACCAGTCCGGGGCGCAGCTCGCCGGGAATGAGGGTTTTTCCCAGGGCCGTGTATTGAGATTCTGGTCACAGCCCAACTTTTGGTTTTTTAGCAAAGATAAATGGCAATTGTGCCATCTCTTGTCGCCTGCAGTATTTTGGAGGCCTTTCTTCTCGTAAACAGCCTTGTCTATCACTTCAAAGTGACACTGGAGCATCATTTTGCTGCGTGTGAGGCATTTGCGCTTTGAAACCCCAGACCAGCTCTTTTCTGTGAAAACTGCACTAAATCAGCCACAAATCTCATGCTTCACAGTTCCTCACTCACATTTAACCTGCTTTAGAGCGAAGGTTTCCCTTGGCAGGTGCAGATGAAATATGTTCCATCTCTGTCTGTTTTCACCAGCACGAGGTCCCCCTGAGTTGGGGCTGCTGGGGGCACTCGGGGTGTTGCTTTTCTGCTTTGCAAAGCAGAGCCTGTCCCTGTGGGTGAAGCAGAGCAGCAGCTCAGCTCAACAGTCAATTTTTAACCTGTCCCTTGCTCCGTGGTGTGGAAGGGAAGCTGGCCAGGGAGGTGTTGCCATTGACCCTGTCTCCCCACACACAAACACAGGGTTGGTTGGGCTCTGCTCTGGACTCTGCTCGTACCTCGTGTGCTGGATTTCACCAGGAACTGAAGGTCACAGTACGGGGTGTTCAGACACTGGGGAACGTCCCCAACATCTCCTGAACACCGTGGTCAGGCTGAGATGGGCTGTTGACTTGTTCCAACCCCATCTTTCAGTGGATAGGATGGTTGCAAGAGCAGTTTTTGGGAGAGATGGGTGTTTGATGGGAGGGCAGAGGGTGGGACCTCTGTGCTGTCTGCTGTCACTGGCACCCTCTTTGCTCCGGGCCCTCTCTTTCCAGCACCCCGTGAGTCACTCCCCACCTTCCCCAGTCTGCCAAGCCAGAGCCTTTGCCAAAAGTCTTCTTATTTTCTGTCCTGGCTTTCTGTGGCTTCTCCCCAGAAGGCAGTGGTGATGGGGAACCACCAGCATGGTCTCCTCATGGCTGCTCATGCTGGGGCTGCACGGCCACCCCTGCACTGTGCCTGTCCCAGGCAGGGCGTTGGACCAGCCAGATAAAATTAGCAGCTGGGACACACGTTCCTCAGGATGCTGGGACAGAGGGACACCCAGTACGGCCAGAGAAGAATTAATGGAAACGCCCGGCTCCTGCAGGGAGGAAATGCCTCCAACAGCCTTTTCCTCCGTTTGTTGCGTGGGCAGGGGGACAATGGGCCCTGTCTGGCTGGGCTGGCTCGGGGAGCAGCACGTGCCGGCCACAGACACCGAGTCTGCGGCACTGGGAGCTCAGGAAGGGCCTGGCACTGATGGGTGTCGGGTCCGGGGGCCCTGAGCCCCCCTGGTGCAGCCCTGGAGAGAAGCAGAGCAGCAGCACCGTGAGTGTGAGGGCCCTGGGGTGGCTGGGCATTTGTACCTCGAACTCTCGCTGTCAAATGTTCCCTAGGAATTCATTACAGTTTGTTGTAACCCCACTGCCAGGCACCTTCCTGGAGCACAAACCTGCCAGAGCAGTGCACAGGCTGCGACCAAGGGAAATTGCCTTTTTCCTCTGCAAAAACCCAATAAACACATAACTTCTTTGCAAGTGACCTTTTTTTTTTTTTTTTTTAATCAGGGATGCCCCTTGAGCCGATAATTTCAGTGCAATGAGACAGGAGGGGCCATAAAGTCTCCAAATCACAGGGTCTTATCAATCCTGTTATGTAAGTGTTGTGAGCAGGAATGTCTGGGCAATCCCAGGTCGTGCCAGCAGCAGCCACTTCAGTGGGTGTTGGTTTCAGTCTGCCACAGTCGTGGCTTCTGTCAGACTCGTGTCCCACAAGCAAAGACAGTTGGCAGCTGATGCCCGAGGCTGCCCAGGCTGTGGGGAGTGATGGGGTTTGGTTTTGGGGACCCAGAGGGTGACAAGGCTCTGCCAAACCCACTGTTGGCTCTGGCACGGGGGGTGCATTGTGGGCACCTCGAATGGCCCAGGGCAGGGGAGGGGGGAGCAAAACCCCACCAGCAGAGCCGGGGCTGTGGGAAGCAGTGGGACAAAGCTGATTTGGGGTGTTCTCAGAGCATCCTTGGCAGCAGGACTGTCAGGTCCCAGCAAGTAACACATGGGCTTGGGGGCTCTGTGCTTGGCTTCTGCTGTGAGTGTTTGTGGCACAGGGAACAGCTCTGATGGGAAAAGCCACCAGAGCAGGAGGAACTTGGCTGCATCCCCCGGGGCAGGAGGGGCTGGGAGGAGGCAGGTCCGGGCAGTGGGCGGCCACTGAGGGGCCCTGTTTGGCCTTTTTTGGAAACAGCCCATTTGAGGCAGTTTGTGGGGATGTGGCTGGTTCGGGGGGATGTGTCGTGGGTGGGTGCAGCAGCTGCAGTGAGGGTGGGACACTGCCCTGGGAGAGGTCGAGGGCTGGAAAACTGACAACTTCCTCCGGAGCAAACCCGCTCTGAGGCAGATTTTTCTGAGCAGGGGCAGTTCTGAAAAGCCTTTGCAGGCTCTTTAAAACAGGTTCATCCCAAAACAGCTCTCTCTGGTCTTCTTGGGAGGGGCAATCACCACGTGCTCCCCTGCAGCCATAAATAATTACAATTGCCCATTCTATTAGGCAATGTAAAGGGTTATTTCTAGTCTCCCTGACTTATAGGCAATTTACAGTTCTTACTGTAGGCAAAAAAACTGTAGCTGGGCTATCACTCTTCCAAGCTGCTTTATCTTTGTTGCTCTAAGCAGAGTCATGGGAATGTTTTTTTCTAACCCAGCAGGTTATTAAAGGACAGACTTATAAATAACCACTCTTGGCTATTTTTAAGTATTTTCAGCATCGTCTATCATGATAGTGCAGCACAACCTGCAGAAAAACTGTCCAATTTCGCTGTCAAAGCTTCATAACTCACTTCTGTTTCTTTGGATGGTGAGGAGCCAAGTCCAGGCTCCCACTCTGCTCTAGGGGAATGCCAAGGACCAACGAGCCTCGCTGCCCACCCTGGACCCTCATTTTCTAAACCTTCTTTCCTCCTTGCAGAAGGTGTCGTTCTCCTTTGTTACAGGGAGGGAACTAACACTGGAGTTGGTCTACAGTAAATTTGGTGAGGTATTTCTGGGGATGCTGTAGTCACCATAGCAACCGTGGGCCAAACTGGTGCTGCCAGGTGGGATGGTGGGGCTGCAGGGAAGTCAGGGGCTGCTGCCAAAGCCATACCAGGGTAAGGAAGGAGAGGTGCAGGTAGTCTGCTCCCAAACTAAGTCTCTATGAAATGATCAAAATAGTCTAACCCCACCACTCCAGGAGAACTGAGCATTTCAGACAAGATAATTTATATTTACTTCATAATTTATTAATTTTCAGGTTATCGTATGCAATAAATTATAGTCGATATAATAATAACATTGTCATAAAAAATTACCATGAAGTAAGTACTCATCTAATAGCAACCATAACCTACACAGAGAAGAACCGGAGTTATTATATTTAGATTTTTAGTGTTAATGGGAAGTGAACAAAATATTAAGGAACTTCACAGTAAATTCAAGGAGATCTGTCATTATTATTGCTTCTGTGCAAACGACTTTTACTGCACACATAGAGCTCAGGAAGGAAAGGCACAGTTGTGCAGAGTTACTCTGGAGCAAATGTGTTCCCTGATGGCTGCACTTGCTGCACCAGGCACTGAACTGATGCAGAGTGACCGTGAGCAGGAGCTGATGGGTCTCCAGAGCCTCCCACCAGCCACAGCAGCGAGGCTCTGGAGGGCTCAGGCTTCAACACAACAGGTTTGAGAGGGCAAAGCCCCCTCATGAAATCAGTGAGCACCGAGTCTGTCAGGAGGGCCGGAGTCACACCCGGCAGTGGGGGGATCCCCCACAGCTCAGTCCCACGGCTGCCCAGAGGAGCCTGGCTGCCTCCCCATGGGAGCTGCCCTCCTTCTGGGAGCTGCTCTCCTTCTGGGAGCCTCTGGCCACCACGCTGCCATCCACATCAACGCTGCCACGGGCACCGACGCTGCCGTGGGCACCAGTGCTGCTGTCCACACCGATGCTGCCCTGGGCACTGATGGTACCACGGGCACCAATGCTGCTGTCCACACCAACGCTGCCCTGGGCGCTGATGCTGCTGTGGGCACCGATGCTGCCCTGGGCACTGATGGCACCCTGGGCACCGACGCCACCCTCGCTGCGCAGTTTTCTGTGGGGCTGAAGCCCTGCGGGCAGTCAGTCAGGTCCCCACTTCCACGGGGCAGTGGAGCATGCTGAGTGTGGCAGGAGGTCACAGACAGTCCCGTCCCCAAACGTTCTCCTCCATTTCTGCTCCCTCCGCCAGCTCAGTGAACTTTGATGAAGAATTTCCGAAGCGTCAGGAACTGGAGCAGTTTGTCTTTCCTCCTCTGCTTCAGCGCCATCAGCGCTCTCGTTTTCTCCTCCACGTCCTGGTCGGTGGCGAGGATTATCTTGGCTCTTTCCTCCGCCTTCTTGTCCCCGGAGTTTCTGAAGAGCTTCTGCAGGGACTCCTGGGTGATGCTCTCGAAGATGTTGGCCGCGGCTTTCTTGCGCAGGGCGGTGTCGAAGCGGTAGCCGTGCACCGAGGGGCTCACACGGAGGGACGTGGACATGGCTGAGGTGCTGGAGCCTGGCTTTGCTTTCATCTACGTGGGTGCTGCCGGGTGTGCCCTGGGCTCCAGTCGGAGGGATGGGTGCTGTGCTGCCTCCAGGACTGGTATTTAAGGGCAGGCTGGAGGAAAAGCTGGAGGGCTCAGGTTACAGTGGTGAGATCATGATGATGTCAACACCCAACAGTCACAGGCGAGTTTAACAGTTAAGTTGCCAACTTATTCCCGTCCTGCGGAAAAGATGGAAAGTTCTCTCTGCTTCTGCGACAGAAATGGCTTTTCTTTGACCCACCACAGAACAGGCTTCAACCACTGCTGTGAGACTGAGCCAGCACAGCCCAAACTCCACTCCTGCCCTGGCTGCACGTGAAAAACATCACGTGCAGAAAATATATCATATCATAAACCTGTAAAACTCCAGGCGAGAACTGTTGCAATCCTAGCAAGAGGTGTTGGCTGGAGCCTGCACACACAGCCCAGCACTTGGCTCTGTGTCCATCAGTAACACTGCAAACCTGCTCCTGTCTGGGCATGGGCTCCTTTCTGCTGCTTCCCAGCAGATGCAGCTCGTCTTTAGTGCACACACAGCTGCATTTTCTAGGTGGAAAGTGCTGTCCCACAGGCAGGGGATGCCCAGGCTTTACACCCTCGGCTGCCCAGCTCCACATGGCAATGCTCTCGGGGCAGCAGGAAAATTCTCAGTTTGCTGCCCTGCTCCTGCCTCCAGTGTCCTTTTCCTTAAATTTCCTGCTCATCGGGGCTGGAAAGAAAACTCACCTCTGCTCCAAAAGAGCCTGTGCTCTCCACACCACCCTTGGCCAACGCCAAGCCCTTGGGCTGGGAGGACTCACTCTTAGTCATATTAGGTTAGTTTTTGGCAGCCCTGTGAGGAGCAGGGAGTTGGATTTCGTGGCCCTTATGGGTCCCTTCCCACTCCAGACACACTGTGGACAGGGCACGGCTGCCTGCACGGGGCTGGCTCTGGCCACTGGAGCTCCTGCTGGGCTCAGACAGGAGCTGTTACCGAGCCCAGTCAGACCCGGCCGAGAACAACTGTGGGTTCAAAAGTCACTCGGGGCCGGGAGCCAGAGATAAGTGTATTTTGGTTAATGTTTTAAAGCAGCCGGATGCTGCAGAGGTTGTGTTTGGAAAGTTAGCAGTTTGTTTACTGCTGCTGCTGACCCTGTTACTCACCCTTGCTGAAGGACTCCAGGAACAGCCTCTGTCCCCATCCCACTTGGACCAGGGGTTTCCCTTATTTACCGGAGAGCTGCGGGGGTGACCTCTGACCGCAGCGAAGAGCAGATCCAAAGCCACATCAGCCAGATGCTTCTCATTCCACATTCCCTTTAAAACTTCTGTTCCCTCGGATGGGGAGAGGGGACATGTCTGAGCCCCAGCAAACCCCCTCTCCAACGGCCAGGGGAAGCCAGGGGAGAGGTGAGAGCACCTGAAGCCCATGTGCAGGTGCTTGTGCTGGCTGAGAGCAGAGCAGGGCATTCCCTGGGAGCTGCTGCTCACCAGGTGAGGTGCAGAGTGGGGCAGGTGGCTGCCTGGGCCCCAGAATGACTGGGAGCCACCGTTCCATCCGGGCTCAGGTCCACATCCAGCTGGCCGGGGCTTGCCAGGCTTTTATCCTTAGGGCAGGGAGTGGGTCCATTTCGGGGTCTGACCACTTTCCTGCCTGGGACTTGGGACTCATCCGTTGGTTGTGGGCACGCCCTGGCACAGCCTTGTGCCCTGCACATGCCACATCCCGCCAGAACATGGGTTTCCCCAACGCTGCCGGGACTTTGATCTGTGCTGCTGCTCCAGCACGAGCTCTCCCTGCACGTGCCTTCGCTTCCCGCTGGTCCTGTCATTGTGTGAGTTACTTTTTACGAGTCTGTCCCAATTCCTTCTCTACGTGCAGGCTGTTCCACGCTTCAGTGGATAAACAACAGCCTCGCAAACCCCTGGGATCCTCCTTTCCCCAGCCAGACGTGCAGCCTCTCACCCTGCCGTGGTCTTGCTGGATTGGTGAGAATTGCACCTCGGCCACTGTTTGCTCAGTGTTTGCAGGGCTGGTAAATTCACCTCGAAAATGAGATGTTTTTGGTGTGTCTGAGTCTCTGCCTGGGAAAGACCCTCGTGGTTTATAGACTCTGTTACCATCAGGTGTGAGGGGGGAGCAGGAGGGAGCAGGGCCACGTGTATTGCCTGTCCCTGCCTGCTCAGAGCTGCCCAGAGTGCTCTGGGAGGGCAAAACCTGCCTGCAACACGGATCCAGCTGATATGCTGAAGGTACTTTGCTTCACTGGACAGATAACACAGTGTCAGGGTTCTCAGGGCAAAAAGCAGCGCCCGAAGATCAGACAAGATCTTCTGGCTCTAGAGAACAAACCCTTCTGTGTCCCCTGGCTGAAAACAAGAGCTGAGCCATGTTCACGTGCTCCTGGTTGTCACCACTCCCACCGCACATGGGATCGCTCTGCAGGTATTTGCAGAGACGTGGCTGAGAGCATAAATTAGCAATATCTGTGGAAGATACAAGCTCAGAAAAGTATCTGCCATGGAAACCGAGACTAAAGCTGATACTTTAGGAGTAAGACATCAGAAAACTGCCAAGATCAAGCATGCATTTCCTTGTGAGCTCATCTCACACGGAGCAGTAACAAATGTCTTTGCCCCTTCATGCTTCTCTGCCCACTTTGTATAAATTTAGTTGTGCTTGGCTCTGACGGAGTGATGAAGCATTGCCTCGTCTGTTTTTTTCCAGTAATTTTTGTTTATATCAGTCTTTTAATACTGCTTTCCCAGTAGTGCTTAGGAGGAATTATTCATGTGTTGGATTGGAGCAAAACTTCAGAGATGCGATCTCTATCATCGTCCTCCCGCTATTGCTGTGTAATTGCTTTGTGAGACGCAAATGCTCCATTTCACCCGTTAATGGGAGGATTAATTCCCGTCCCCACCGTCTGCAGAGCGGGGCAGTCACGTCCCTCAGCGTGCTCTGCTTCTCCCTGCACGGTGGGCTCGGGGGGCCGGGCAGGATTGTGCTGAGCTTCGGGGCACAGGGTCCCTTCCACGGGCACAGCACCCCACGGGCACCTGCCCCAGATCGTGGCCACCGAGGTTTTGACACTGAAGCACTTGTGGTTTGCTAAAGCAAGCCCCCGGGGCTCGCTGTCAAAGCCAGGCAGTGCTGGAGGGAAGGATTTGGGAGGGATGGGGGCTCTGCCCCCGGGTTGGTGCTCTCAGGGGGTGCAAAGCTGGATTAAATGGACCCAGAGGCTTCTCCCACTCCAAGCTGCAAATTACGTGAGGATCTCCCCTGCCCCAGCTGCACCCGTGTGGGGGACAGGGGAGGGCAAAGCAGGGCACTCACCAGGCCAAACACCACGGCAGGGGCTTCTGGAAAGCCCCCAGCCCCTGCAGAGAGCAGCCCCAGGGCAGGAGGTGGAAGGGAGCTGGGGCTGCTCTGACCACAGGGGTTGCTGGGGGTGCCTGTCCCACAGACTCTCGCAGGGAACTTGCTCTGCCTTTATGTAACTTCCAAAAGCACTCCAAAGAAGGTAATCTGGGACGGCTGTACAGTTCCTTGGGGCATGTTTTGCATAGCTTTCCCTTCACCAGCCTCTGCTGAAGCCTGCAGGGCCTTGTGACACCCCGTTGGGATCAGAGGATGCAGCACCCCCATGGAGCATTGGTGCTGCCCAGACCTCCCCAGCCATACCCAGGATATTCAGAAACTGGGCCTTTGGAAAGGCACCTGGGAGGCATGGGAACCAGAGAAGGAAATTAAATTATTGCCTTAAAATATACAGATATGTATGTGTGTGTGTTTCCATGAAAATCTAAGAATGGGAAATGCCCAGGATTCTCCAGCCATCTCTGCTCTTCCCATTCTTTCCTGGCTCCATGGTCTGGAACCCCTGGCTCCCTGCAGCCTTTGCTGCTGCCTCCAGCCTGCAGCTGGGGAATCCCAGCCCTCCTCAGGAGCCAGAAATCCTGCTCCTGGTGTGTGCTCTCTGCTGGGAAAGGTCTCCAAGATGGAAAGGTTTCCGAGATGGAATGCTCTGCAGAGGCAGCTGTGGCACGGCTCTAAGGTCAAAGAGGAACCGGTTCATTGTGCTCCTCTTGGAATCCAAATTCCTGGGAGGTTGTCAGACACCCAGGTCGTGCGAATGGCAGTGCCTGCCCCGGCTCCAACCTGCCCACAGTGTCTTCCAACTGGAACTCATGTGCCTCTGGGACTCCACCTGGGGTTTCTGTTTGTTTGGCTGTTGCTTGGGGTTTTTCTGTGGTTGTTGTTTCTTTAGTAGAGCATCTGGGAACACTTGTCCAAATCTCACGGCAGGACACTGTGCCTTTGCTCACAAAACCCAAGAGCTTAACTTGGCCATCTGTGTCCCCTGTGACTCCTCCTGTGGTCCCCAGTTCAGAGCTGCAGGACAGGGCAGGTATTTGAAGGGCATTTCTGCTGCAGTTCAGTGGCTGAAAAGCACAGACATGTCTCAGACAATCCCCACACAGCTCCCTGCCACAAAACAGGGAAAACTGACTGATTTTCAGACAGCAGAAGGCATGACTGCACAGTCAAGCCAGTTAGATTCCAACAGAAAAGTTTTTAATAGGGAAAAACTCAGGACAGGCCTGAGTGAGGGGAATGCAGCCCCAGAGCTGTGCAGGGCAGCCCCTGCTCCAGGCAAGGAATGGGCAGAGCTGGGTGAGCCCTGGGTGAGCAGAGCATCGCTCTCTGCGGGGAGACCATATAAGAGTAAAGCCTGTGGTGGTGCTGATAATGAATGTCTGCTCATTTCTCATAAATTCTCTGCTAAATGTACGATCACCAAGTTAATAATGCAGCGCAGGACATAATGAATAGCCAGTTACAGTGAGTAAATCACGGCTGGTAAGAAACAGAACAGAAACAGAAACTTCTGGCGCTTTTACCAGGCAGAACCCCTTGGAAGGAGCATCCAGCAAAGCAGAGCTGAGGGCACAGCTGGTGGGGACCAGATGCCACTCGCTGGCACAGGGAGCTGGAGGGGCTGGGCCGGGGGGGTCTTGCTGTGTGAGGAAGCCACGGGTGGTTTCTCCTGGTGCTCGGGGCTTC